CGGTATTATAGAAAATAATTTAAAGGTAGATTAATGAGCTCCCACCTTCCAATATTTCAAAAAAGAAAAAAAAAACTCCCACCTTCCAATAATCCAATGCATGTGCTTGCCCTACTTTTTTTGCTCGCCTTACTTAAGCAGTGTTTGCGGTTGCTTAAAAAAAGTGCTTTTCAGCTTTTGGATTAAAAAAGCTAAAAAGAGTGTTTTCAAATGACAGCTTCTGCTTAAATTAATCACTTAAAAGCTAAAAGCTGGAAGCAGGTGGAAGGGTGCTTTAAACTGCTTTTCACTTTTTCTATTACACAAAAAGTACTTATTTTACCAAACACTATCAACTTTTACTTTTTCAGAATCACTTTTTTCTCAAACACTACCAACTTTTACTATTAATCACTTTTCCCAAAATCACTTTAAAAAATCACTTTTTTAAAGTTGAAGCAATTGCAAACACTCTATTACTAGACTGCACAAAATCGGGCCAGCCCGCCCAACCAGCGTGCACAATTGGGCGGGCTTGGACATATGTGTGTGTGTGTGTGTGTGTGTGTGTGTATGTATGTATATGTATATATATATATATGTATATATATATGTATATATATGTGTATAGATTTAAGATCAAATACAAACTGATCCTAATTTACAAAGTGCAAACTAATCCTAGCCATCCATATTAATGAGATAATGGTCAAGATGAGGAAAATCCTTCCATAACTAATGCTCTGTTTTTAGTGGTAAGAGAATAAAATCTCCCCCACTAATACGGATGGATATTAGTGCTAAAAACAAATCTTGCCCTTGATTTTCAAATATTGAACGGAGAAGATGAATTTGCATTTTGTATCGAAAGAACACTTTGTATCTGATCTTAACCCTATGTGTATATATATATATGTGTATATATATATGTATATATGTATATATGTATGTATATATGTATATATGTATGTATATATGTATATATGTATATATATATGTATATATGTATATATATATGTATATATGTATATATGTATGTATATATATATATATATATATATATATATATATATATATATATGTAGAATAGAGATCAAATACAAAGTCTTCTTAATTTACAAAGTACAAACTCATCTTGACCGTCCGATGAGTTGATCCAAATGACATAAATGCAAGGTGGCATTTTTGTAATAAAACCCAACTTTTTAGGGTGCAACACGTTGCACCTTAATGTGCAACTGTTATTTTTATGACTTTATGATGTGCAATACTTTGAACCTCAATATGCAATGCAAATAACGTCAAGGTGCATCGTACAAATATTTGCACAATAAGCACACTTTGTACTTGATCTTTCCCCTATATAAATATATATATATATATATATGTATATAGAGAGTCCCGTTCTTGTCCAGCCGGCCTGACGGGATGCTTTGTCCGACTAAGGGCATTTCGGGTACTTCCCGGTGGAATTTTTTGATGAAATTTTTTGAGCATGTTCTTCATGAAGTCTAGTTTATCCATACCAAATTTCAGCTAAAAATTCAATCGGGAAGGCACTCAAATAATTTCTTGAAGTTAACTGGGCAGTTCATACATGTTCATACATGTATATGTATGTATGCATATATATATATATATATATATATATATATATATATATATATATATATATATATATATAGAGAGAGAGAGAGAGAGAGAGAGAGAGAGAGAGGACTGCTCAGGTCCCTCCGGAGGGACGGGAGGGACCGTCCGAACTTTACTGTTTGGGGCGGTTCCCGGTGGAATTTTTTGATGAAATTTTTTGAGCATATTCCTCATCAAGTCTAGTTTGTCCGTACCAAATTTCAGCTCAAAATGCGACCGGGAAGGCAGTCAAATAAATTCTTGAAACTTACTGCACTTTATATATGCGCAGGATGTGCAGTAAACTTCAAGAATTTATTTGACTTCCTTCCCGGTCTAATTTTGAGCTGAAATTTGGTATGGACAAACTAGACTTGATGAGGAACATGCTCAAAAAATTTCATCAAAAAATTCTACCGGGAACCGCCCCAAACAGTAAAGTTCGGACGGTCCCTCCCGTCCCTCCGGAGGGGCCTGATCTTTTCTGTATATATATATATATATTTACCCACCGGGTCGGGTCGAGCCCGGCCTGCAATAACATATGGGTGGACTTGGGTTAGGGTGTAGGCCCGTTCAGACCCATAAGCCCGACCCGCTACATTTAGTATATATGTACACGTACACACATATGTACACTAATTTATTTATTTATTTACATGTACACATGTATATTTATATTAACAAATATAATTTATCTTTATACATATTTATAGTTTATTGTGTTTAAATTTAAATTTTTAGTTCTTAACAGAAATAATTACATAAATATGATCACAATAAAGATGATTTACAAAAATATGAGTAGTGACTAGAGTAGTAATGAAATCATAGTAATTCATGTTCAAGGTTTGAGCTTAAGTTACCACAACACCACATTGTAGTAATGAATAGTCATATTTATATAAATATGTTTTATTTTAGTAATATTATTGTAAAAAACCCAATGTTGTAACATTATTTTTAAAGTATTAAATAAATTATATAATTTAAAAACTAATAAAGTTTTTCCGGGTCGGGCGGCCCGATGGACTACCTGACCCGCTCTTACGGGCGGGTATGGTCATGGGGTATGCCCGTTCGGGCCGGGCCTGCCCACACATGATGGGCAAAAAATTTATAAAAAACCCTAACCCAAGCCCAGCTCGAACCTGTTTTGTGCAGGTCTACTACTTACATTAAGGTATTTTTTTTTTTTTTTGAAAAAAGACGTTTAAATTGATATCACAACAATAATGAAACTCAAGCAAGATGTAAAACGATAAGATTCTTTGATCCTGTAGTGGGCTTAACTGAGTCAATGACAATCAAACCAGACTTTTCATCACATGTCTTAAATTCTAGAGTTTTTTTTTGCTAGGAAATAAAATTTCAACCAAAACAACAAAGGTTCGAAAGTAGGACTAAAAAGGTTTGAAAATTCCAAAATAGGACTGTCATGTTTTTTATGGGCTTTTGTCTTCAATATTACTAAATTAAAGCCATTTTCCTAAAATGTGACCATTTTTCAAAAGACAAAAAAAGTGACTAAGAAGGTCATATATTTGAAAAAACATATTATCACTATCAGATTTTATGTCACTGTAACCACTGCCTATGTCACTATAGCCACCGCCCATGTCACTGTAGCCACCGCCGGTGTCACTGTAGCCACCGCCAGTGTCACTGTAGCCACCGCCGGTGTCACTGTAGTCATCGTCCATGCCACTGTAGCTACCGCACGTGTCACTAACACCATGAAACATGTCAGTGTAATTGTTTTCGTTTAGTGAGACAGCCCACCTTACTGAAATGAATGCCCCGCCGATTAAGTCACTGAGCACCACCACAACCACAGTCGGCCGTCATAACGGCGGCTGTCCCCGCTGCCTCTGCCATGCCCTGCCCCACCGCCACAGCCCTGCCCTACCACATCACCCCAACCCAGCCCTCATCACTCCAGCCACGCCCCACCCCATCAGCCTAGCCACGCCCACCCACCCCACAAACCCTGCCCCATCCCAGGCATCCCTGCCCCACACCACCAGACCGGCCCTGAGCCCACAGCCACCAGCCCCTGCACAATTGGTGCCCAACACAACACCCATGTGGCCCTTCAACCAGTGCAGCCCACCATTTCATTCGCTCATACCCCCAATCCCTGCCGCCAAGCCGTCGCACCAGCCCGCCGCCTCAGAAACCCTAGCCGCTGACCTTGTAGCTAAATTCTAGCTGCAGAACAGTCTACGACGGTCACAGATCTGAAGGTGGTCGCAGATCTGAAGGTCGTCGCCGAACAAAGATCTGTTCATCTCCACCGATCTCGGCCATAGTAAGGTGAAGAAGAAGAGTGCGGACCTCGATGAAGACAACGACAGTGGCAAGGATTTACAGCGGCGAGCATGGCGGCGGCGAAGGCAGCGTTGGCAGCGAGGAGGTTGGCTGTGACGAAGAAAGAGTTGACGGAGAGCCTGATTGCGACAAGATCGGAGTTGGTGATCATCTCCTTCACTGCAATCGTTGATTTCTGGGATTGACATGGTAGAAGAGAGAAGAGAAGCCATGTTCTGTCCGCAGGAAGGAGACAGAAAGGAGCGGTTAAATGAAAGTCATATTTGTGGAAAAGTAAAAACTAATGATATATTTGTCCTTCAAAAGTGTATGGGTGATATCCATGCCATTTTTTCGTTTTTTTATTCCCGAAATAGGACTAATTAATGTCATGTTATGACAATATCAGACTTCAAACATGGTAGTATTTTCCAAACTTGACAGTAATTACTCCTATTTTGGGAATAAAAACATGACAGTCCTATTTTGAAATTTTCACATTGTTTTAGTCCTATTTTGGGAACTTTCCCAAACAAAAACACAAACAAAACACAATTAAGACAGAGTTCATCACTCCATGACGGTGGTTCATGAGGGGGACGAGTCAGCAGTACTATAGCTTCTTCCTCACCCCGTCTCTTATTCGTCATGTTCCCTGTCAAGTCTCAACTTTCGCCACCAATTACAGATGAGCTCGAATTTAGATCTGTTCCAGCTTTAACCCCAAGCTTCGCTCATGACCTTCACTCGATGATGCCATCATCTCGCTTTTACCGTCTCTGCTTCTTGTTCGAATAGATCGGCGGAAGAGCTAAAACCCTAACTAAAGGAAGAAACGGCTGCATTAGCTTTTGAAAACAGGTATGTTTGGCTTTAAAAAGGGAAAATGCATGTTTTCATATGACATTTTCTATTTAAATTAAACACTTAAAAGTTAAAATCTATAAATTGCTTTTTATTTTTTCTATTACACAAAAAACATACTCCGTATATTTTACCTAAAATTGCTAACTTTTATTTTTCAAAATTAATAATTTTTCAAACACTACTAACTCTTAAAAAACTTTTAAAGTCAAATTTCTTAAAATTAGAAACAATTGCAACCTCTCCCATTCTCCATTGGAGCGGAGCGGAAGAAATGGGGATTCAGGATTTGATCAGTCCCACCGCCAATTCACTGAGACGGAAGTCCGTCGGTCTCGTGAAGCAAGCATGGGCAGTAGCTTCTCGCGCCTTCGGATCTGCAGCCATCAAAGTTCACCGGCTCGACCCGGTTCGTTATATGCCCGATGATGAAACTCGTGCAAAGGCCGTCGTCTTCTCCAGTAAATTCGCCAGAAATGCCGTCGTTTATGCTGTTAAGAATGCCTACACATGGATCCCTGGTCCGATCATTCTGACTTTACTGTAGAATTTGAGCATTCTAAGTTTAATCGTATCGATATATAGGAGTTACAGTTGCAGATTTTGAATTGCCGTATCTTACTGTCCAAAATCAATCTTCACATGTGCAGGTGGAAAGGCAGTACTTGACATATATTCGAAAACTATGCGCGAAATCAAATCTGAAGAATATGATAAAGACGAAGAGGATAGAGTCTCGGAACACGATTCTAGTTCCTCTGAGAAAGCCGATTCAAGCGGGCATGTGAGATCTCTCGATGTTGACTCGCATGTCACGACTCGAAAACCAGAAGATGAGCTGATGATCTCGCCGCCGCCTGAGAAAAAAAGAGTTAGGAAGCTAGGCGGCAGGAAATTGCGGTCCAAACTATGAGAACAGCCCACCTTAAAGTATGGGTGAACTTGAACAGCATTTTCCATTGACGTAGCTAATCTCTATATACCATTTACAGGCATTGCAGGTCTATTAAATTGTACTCCGTAATTATTGTTCAATTTAATCTGCTCATCAATTTTTTCTCGGTGTTCAGAGCATCTTCAATGGCAATGGCACCATGGATTGATGAAAAATGCATTATCACATCACATTGAGATAAAATTATCTCTCTAACGGAAATATGGACAATGAATGCCGTGTTGATTTGGAATGGAAAACAATCGATCCTGTCTAGTCTCTCTATCGACTTTCAAAAGGCGTGTCTAACAGGTTCATTCAGCAAATCACTTACTACGTATTTCATAGTAATTTTTTGCCGTAATTGCAAATATTACTTCCCTTCCGCCTATGCAATACTGGGATGTAGAGGCAGTACATCAGTAGTAACCAAACGAGACAAGCCGACAACTAACGTCCACTATCTCGCAGCCCCCGGTGATGCGGCGGACAGAAAACCGTGGGGAATCGAATTGAATGAACACTCTTGAAGCAGCACGAGGGTCAAAGGTGTAGAATCCGTTAATAGCTTGTACATTTGAACTCTTCACTAAATATCTATCTAACCTCTATCATTATATATGTATAATCTGTCAATAGCTTGTACATTTGAACTTTTCACTATATATGTAAGTAATCTAGCTCTAAATTTTCAATGAGCCCAAGTTTACCACTGTCAAATGTCGTTTGAGAATTTTTACTTGAATTTTTACTTGATGGGAGAAGTTGGGATGATGATGACTGTTTTGAATATGCGCTTCCTCTCCTCCGTGACCGAGACTGGTTGTTGCGCTCGAGTTTTTTTTTTTTTTGCAGAATGCATATGGATCTTTTTAGGCTGCACTTCCCCTGGTTTCGTCCTTTTTTCTAACATGTGGCATGTAAGCAAGTATACATCATATTTCCCCCATTTTTATTGAGTATGCCTTATTTTTAAACTAATTATCTAAACATGTTTTTAGTCTATATTTTCCCATGAAAAGGACTTATTTTTTACAACTCTCAATTGCATCCCATTGAAATTAATCTATTTTTACCTAAACAAAAACAAAATGCTCAATCCTCTTTTTATCCATTAATCGATTACTGTATTTTTTTTAAAAACTAATGTTGAGGTTTATTCCTTCAACCCTTGGACCCAACACGTAAGCCCAAAGATTTCGAGTGGAGTGAGTGTGTGGTTATCTAGCCCAACAACTATCAGATGAATCAGGAAACAAGAGTAATAGCAGGCAATGTAAATAGGTGTTATTAACTTCGTAATAACTCCCCTAAGTACAATCTACTTGCTAAAAAGGGCACGTCGGCCGTTCGTCTTACAAGGCGATAGAAATGCTACTCGTAAGAATGCTGGAGCTAGTATGCTAAGAATAGAAAGTTGCCAACCCTTTACAATGAAATAAATGCTTCTATTTATACCCGCCAATGGGCAGGTGGCTGTACTGACGTGGCAGCCTGTGGACCGCTGGTGTCCCAACTACCAAATCTTTAGCATTAAATGCACTTCCCGCCAGAATCTAGGTTTCCCGCCGGATCAGTGGGGACGTTCGTCCACCCCGGAAGTGAGTTGGATTGCTCCAAGTGACCTTTGAGGGATATCGGCTGTTCGTCGCCTGGCCTTAATAGATACTCACTATGTGCACTGGGTTTTCCCCGATGACCACAAGCTTGCTCCGGGGACGTTCGTCGCCATCCCCGCTGGCCCGTGGTTCTGCTCTTTGTCTCTGCATAGACGTTCGTCGGAATGAGCTGCTGGGCCCGAGTCCTCCAACACCAGACGTTCGTCCATCCTCAAGAGACATGGGCCTGTGGGCTGGCCTGGTTTCTAGCTGGACGTTCGTCTGGCAAAATGGGTTAGTGGGCCGGACCTCGGCTTGGGCCCTTAACCCAACACAAGTCCCCCACTTCTGATGTTCTGAGCATGCGCAGGACATAAGGAAGTATGAACCCCCCCGAAGTAGACGTCCGTATCTTGATACTTATGTTTATTGCATCTGGTGGAAGCGTACAAAGAGGAGAGAATGAAGGTCTACTTATGAACCCCCCCGAAATGCGCGAAAGCCCTCGGAGCAGCTCGTCTGAAGGTGAGAATGGACAGCCAGCTGGTAGTAACCCAGATGACCGGCACTGCAGAAACCAGGGAGGAGAGAATGAAGGTCTACAAAGAGCTGGCGGAGGAACAGACCGCGCAATTTGAGCAGGTGGTGCTTGAGCAGGTATCGCGGGTGGAGAATACAGAAGCGGACATTCTGTCAAAACTAAGCAACCCCCCAACCGATGACCCGGCATCAAGCATCCCCCGACACATCAGAGGCTTCGTCAGGCAGGAGATATTCCCAGCACCGGCGACGGACGTCATCCAGGTGGAGGTTATCTCCATTGCCGAACCTAACTGGGCAAAGGAGATAGCAGATTATCTCAGAGATGGGACACTCCCCGAGCCTGAAGGTGATGACAGTACAGGGAGGGCCGCGTGGATAAAGAGGCGTGCCCCTAACTTTGAACTTATTGACGGGCAACTTTACAAGAAGACGTTCGGCGGACCGTACCTCAGATGCCTCCCGCCGAGCCTGGCGGCGGCAGTAATCGAGGAAATACATGAAGGGATCTGCTCCAGCCACCAGGGCCCCCGAACCTTGGCCAGGAAAATCATCCTGCAGGGCTATTACTGGCCGACCATACAGCAAGATTGCTTCAACCACACGCGGAAGTGCGCAATATGCCAGCAGTATGCACCTGTCCCTGGCCGACCAGCGAGTTTCTACACCCCGATGACCATCGCACTGCCATTTGCTAGGTGGGGCGTAGACCTGCTGGGTCCTCTGCCAACGGCTGCTGGTGGAAGGAAGTTCGTCATTGTGGCGGTTGATTATTTCACGAAGTGGGTCGAGGCCGAACCATTGGCCTCCATCACTGAATTCCAGTGCCAGAAGTTCGTCTGGCAGAACATCATTTGCCGCTTCGGGATCCCGGAGCAGATCATCACAGACAACGGTCGGCAGTTTGTCGGCAAAGGCTTTGAAGCATACTTGGCAAAGTGGGGCATCAGGCACTCTAAGGCTTCGGTGGCCTACCCGCAAGCCAACGGCCAAGTGGAGAACATGAACCGGACCATCATGGATGGGATCAAGAAGAAGTTGGAAGACTACACCTCCACCTGGCCGGAGCAGTTGAATTATGTCTTGTGGACGTACAGGACGACGCCAAGAACGGCGACCGGGGAAACCCCTTTCGCCTTGGCTTATGGCTTCCAAGCTAAGGTGCCGACGGAGGTGTTGGTACCTACACATCGCACCAAGCACTTCCAGCCGGGAGACAACGAGACCAACCTACGAGCAGAGCTCCATTTCATTGAGGAACGGAGGGACCTAGCGGCTCGTCGCATGGAAGAGTATCACAGGGCCACCCAGAGATACTTCAACAAGGCCGTGAAATTCCGTGAAATAGAGGCCGGGGACCTCGTACTCAGGAAAAGAGAGAAGAGCAAGCCGCTCGAAGGTGGCAAAATGGCGAAGAACTGGGAAGGACCTTACCGGGTCATCAGAAGATACAACCAGGGGACGTTCCTCCTCCGTACCCTGGAGGGGAACCATGCCGGGGTGTGGAACGTAGAACACCTGAAGAAGTTCTATCAATAGTTAGAGGCCGTTGTCCTTGTATTGTTCCCACTGAATGTAAAATGACCGGACGTCGTCAATAATAAGGCCCCCTATTTTTTATCACTTCTGTTCTCGCCAACAACCGTACAAGAAGGGAATCTCGATGCAGATATACCTGTTCCTCATTGTGATGTCCGCGGATACCGAACGTCTCTTCGATGTAAGAACGTCGGTAGGACCAAGGACCAATGACGAACGAAGACTATGATTGCCTCCCTCAAAAAAAAAAAAAAAAAAAAAAAAAAAAAAAAAAAAAAAAAAAAAATAATAAAGATGGGGAGAAGAGGAGGGTAGCTCCTATGAAGAAGGGAATCTTGTCCGGGTGTGCCAGATCTTCTCCAACCGCCGAAGACGAACGCCTCTCGATGTAGAGGTTAGTAGAGACGCGGAGGGGGCTAGACGAACCAAGGGAGCCTGCCAAGATAAACCTGTTTATCCCACAAATGACCATGGATCGATGGACGTGGGATAACAAAGTCGGGGACCCGTGAGGGTAGACCTGTTCGTCCCTGCGAGTTCTTTGGGTACCTAGCGTCCTCGTCGAAGCAAGAGACGTCGGTAAGGCTAAAGGACCACGGACGAACGAAAAAAGGGGGGAATCTCGATGTAGATAAACCTGTTCTTCCTTGTGATGTCGGCGGACACCGAACGTCTCCTCGAAGTGGGGACGCCGGTGGGACCACGGACCAAGGACGAACGAAGACTAAAAGACTCCAAAAAAAAAAAAAAAAAAAAAAAAAAAAAAAAAAAAGAAGAGCCAGACGAGCATGGAGCAAAGAATGATTTTTATTCTTCGGCACTATCGGCCGGGAAATCACAAGATAGCGAAAATAATGGAAAAGTTGTGCAAGTACAAGGTCATGAACGGGAAATCATTTTTGATCAACGTCCGGAGCTGGAACTTTGGAAAGAGCCTGCTTGCATTCTTCACTAGCTTTGGCTTCCGCCTGCTCTCTCAGCAGCTCAAGGGCTCCCGCATGGGCATCGGCCATCAGGACATCGAAGCCAGCCGCCTCCGGATCGAAAGGAGCCCCGAAATGACGCTCGAACGTGGGGAGATTCTCCGCTACGAGCCCGACCATACCCTTGCGATAAGTATCATCGGCAAGGTCATTAAGGAAACGCCGTCCGGTGGGGGTGGCCTGGAGCAATTTGACCCCGTCCAGGTAGGCGTCCGGGCAGGTGGCCAGAAATTCTCCGACGAGCCTCGGGAGGAATTTCATGGCCATGGTGTGGATGGCACCAGTGTAAGCTTTGGACCTCTGGAAGGCAATGGAACCAGACTCCTTGATTTTGGCAACATCGGCCTCATAAATAGGGACATGGTTATCCATGCCCGTCTGGCGAAGCTCCACCTTGGCCTGCTCTACGGCCCACATCCGGCTGCGGAGATCCACAAGCTCGGCCTCCTGCTTCTTGAGAAGCTCCTTCTGAGAGGCATTCTCCTGAACGAGCTTGTCATAGGCCTCGGCCTTCTCTTGAAGGGTGCCAGCCCTGCCTTTTGCACTCTTCAGAAGGGCATCACATTCGGCCCGTACTCCGGCCATCTCCCTGCCCTGGCGCTCGAAAGCCATCCGAGCCCTATGGAAGTAGAGCCCAGCCTTGTCCAGCGTGCTCTGGCCGCACTCCAACAGATCTTCAGGAGCCTCCTGAGCAGCGAAGTCCTGCGGAACCTTGAGATTCAGGCCGCACCATATAGAGGACGCCGTTTGACCAAAGAGCATCATTGACTCCTTGCGGGGCCCAACCCCAGAGAACTCGATCAGGCCAAGAGAAGACTCACTGGCTCCTGGGGGAGAGTTTGGACGAGCGTCGTCGGAACCCTTGGCAGCTTGGGCATCATCGTCCCGGAGACGACGGACGTCGGAATTCCGCGGAGGAGAAGCACGGAGATGGGCCCGGGAAGTGGGTTTCCGCTTAAGGGGGCTTCCGGGCTCCCCATCAGAATCATCGGCCAAGATGATGGCCTTGGAGGAAGTGCCCTCCGCACGCGGCCTCTTGGGGGCGCCGGCCCCCGAAGTTTCATCGGCCCGTGCCCTGGTCACCCGGGGCTCAACCTTGGGGACGAGCGGCCTTCCGGGATTGTCGCGCCCCTTGTGATCACGACCGGCGGCAGATGAAGCGCTATTGATCCGGCTCATGACGGACGTGGATGGGAAAACTCCTGCACAAAAGGAACCAAGACGTTCAGAGCCATAACAGCGAAGAGATGTCAAAACAATACAAGTACAAACGGACGCACCTAACCCAGCCTGAGCTTTAAAGGGCTCGGCTACCAGCGATCGGAGATTCTGGATGCCAAGTCCGGCTATGCGCTTGGCATACCCGAGCTCCTCGTCCGTCATGGGCGGCGGGATCGTCTTCACCGGGTAAGCATTCCACCGGTCGGAGAATGGCATCGGTGAGCCTACCCCGGCTAGGAAGAAACGCTCTTCCCATCCGTCCGGATTCCCGGCGTTGTTCGAGAAGAGAACCATGGACGGACGGGCTATCAGGGTCAAATACCCCGTACGTCCGAATGGGGACAGCCGGAAGAAATGGTGCAGCAGGTCCACGGTGGGGGTCACACCGACGCTGTGGCATCTAATGATGAAGCCAGCGATTATCCGATAAGCGGCAGGGACGAACTGCGCGGGTACTATCTCGAGGGCCCTGAAAAGTTCCAAGTGGAAGCCATGCAGGGGAAAGTTCAGCCCGGCTACCACCGAATCCAAGTGGACCACCACGTAGCCGGGCAGGTGGCGCATGGGGTTGCGCAGACGCCGATCGTCGTAGGTTCTGGGAGGATAGAACCATTGGCTGATCAGACGCTTGTCAGCGTTCGTCAGGCGTTGAACTTGACGCCGAACGTACGAGAAGCTGAGGCTATAACGGGGAGGCCAGGGTGGCATTCCCCGCTCATAATATTCCAAGTCATCTCCGGAAGAACAGCCATCGTCGAAACGATTTTCAGAAGACATGGCAACGAACGGTACCTTTGGGAATTGGGACTTCCGGTACGATTTGAGAGAAACCTAGAGAGAGAAGACAATTGTGCAGCGTAAGGAGAAGAATGAGTGGATTACATGGGTTCTGAATACTTATAGGCAGCACCGCCGGAACACACCAACCGAAGCGGGACACGTGGTGCCTGGGTACCGGTACCTACCATGGTATTTAAGCACCTCGATTTCGTCGCCGCGTAACCACCACGAAGATATCCGGATCCATGCCACGGACGTCCCCGCAGGAGGGTTGTGGAGACATTCGTCTTCCCATGTTTGCACAGTTCATCGGCCGCCCATAACATCGGCGACTGGCGAGGACACACGCATCAACCGGCCACGCTCGTCTTTCCGGTCACCGAATTTCAACACGCAACGGTAGACGAACGTCGCCACCTGACGCTTCTCCAGGGAAACACATCCATATGTCCGCACTTGAGAACTGTACCATCGAAGCAATTACCGACGGACGTCCCCCAATTGTAAAAATGCTGTGTGGACGGCAGGCCGGCCTCGGTATCGAGGTATCGGAGGAATTTTCCGTACTACGTCAACAATGAAGGGCACAGAAGGGTCATGTCCATGCTACCAATAGGGCACGCACGTCTTTCCATACAACCATACACGGACATCGTCAGGAAATATTGAGGCAGCCCCCGACGAACGTACTTCACGCTTGGGAAATGTGCTGTTTGGACAGCCTCCGACGACCGTCGTCAAGAATGCTGTTGCCAGGGGGCAAGGAGACGTCCCTGCCCAAAGTCAAATGACGAGCAGGGATGGACGTCCTAACAAACTACTTTGCAGCAGAATATTTCGAGGCACGGAATGAATTTCCATACAACAAGAGACAAAGGGAACGAATTTTGGCAAAATGTGGATCTTTATTCTTCAGCACTATCGGCTGGAAACTACAAGTCTACGTACTGCAATAAATCTAGGCTAAGAAGTAAATTAACACATGTGGGGGGACGGCGGTCGGCTGTTGGCATGAGTATGTTCCTCCTCCCGAGGCTCGGGCTCAGGGGTTGGGGGCTCCGGGATATCCCCCATGGCTATGGCCGCCGCCCGGCGTCTATCCCGCCCTATTTTCCCCAGGGCCTCGATCAGTAGATCGTCATCCGTATGATCGGCTGGGTTGACGCCAGGGCCTAGGAGCTTCTCGAAGATGGGGAGGATGGCCTTGATCCCTTCATTATAGCCACCGGCGAAGGCGCTATCGGCAGAATCATAGAGGAATTGGCGCGACAGGGGGGAGCTTTCCATCAGCCGCACACCGAACCTCAGACGGTCCTTCGCCGGAATTTTCCCCAGAGCATGAGAGAACACGTCACCAAAAGCCCCGGCGCAGAAGTCCTTGGCCGACTCCATAAACTCGCCGGTATTCCGGTAACCGGAGGTATTGATGCACCATTCCGGGGTGGCATCTTTTGGGGCCGGAAGTACCGGCATGAGCTTGAAGCCGGCCTTCTCCAGGCAGGCCAATTGGGCGCCGGTTTCAGCCCGGAGGGACTGAAGCTCCTCCCTAGCCGAAGCGGCCTCTTCCTCTGCCCGACGGGCGGCCTCCCGAGCCTTCAGTATGGCGGCTTCGGCCTTGGTCTTTGCCTCCTGCAGGGCGGCATCCCTGGCAGCTTCGGCCTGCAGCACCAACAGCCCTGACTGAGAGAAAAAATGGGATAAACAGAGTTTAGACGGCGAAGCGACGAGCGTCAAGGGGACAAGATGGGTCGAATCGCAACAATACCTGGATGGCCGCAGCAAGAGCAGCGCTGGTCGCCTCGGAAGACGACCGGGGGGGCAGTTCGAGGCCGGCTTTAGCCCCAAGCTCCCTCCAAAGCTCCTCAGCCGGACGGCTCAGGGATAGACCGCTAACATCCTCAACGATGGGGCCGGAGGAAACACAGTCTCGCCCCCTCTTCGTTTTCTTCTCCGGGGCCTTCTCGCTCCCCTTCTTGGGAACCACTTTTGTGACAACGACCGGCGGGGGGAGAGCAGTTTCAGCATGATGAGTCAGGGCCCCCTCGTTCAGCAGGGTGGCAATCAGGTGCTGCTCACCGTCTGCAGTCCGACGGGCGGCGTCGGAGGCCGATGATCCGGCTCCATGGGCGGCTGCCTCTCTGGCCGCTTTGGCCGCAGCCATCTTCGCCTTCCTGTTCCTCAGGCACTCAGCATTGTCCATTTGTTCGGCGGTAAGGGGGAGACCTGCAAGAGAGAAATACAAGAATATGAAAAGACGAACAGGGATAGGGGGGAACACCCACCTCAGAGGACAGGACCGCCCGTGCCCCGAGACGAGCGTCCAAGGGAGGAAGAAATCCAGGAACACGGGCGGTACCTATGCCTGCTTCAGAGAGTGCCTCGACGGTCAGGTATTCCCCTATAGGGCGAACGCCGCCTTCCAGGACTTTCTTCACTTCCACTTCCAGCCCGGCCGACAGCGCCGGCGACTCAATCTTCGGAGGGTAGCCGTTCCACCGGATTGGGAGGGGAGGACCGTCATATCTAAGAAAAAAGAGCCTATTTTTCCAATCATGGATGGAGGAAGGATAGTGCTCAAATAGCTTCCTCTTCGGACGAGCGGCCACACTCAGGTAACCGTCGGAATTCTGCGGGGTGACCCGGTAGAAGTAGTGGAAGAGATCCAGCGATATGACGGCTTTTGCGGACGAACAGCGCACGAGGAATGCGGAGATAAATCTATAAGAGTTGGGCATGAACTGCGCCGGAACCACCTGGTAGCAGTTGAAGAACTCCACGTAAAAGGGATGGAGAGGAAACCGCAGACCGGCCTCCACAGAATCCACATGCAGGATGATCATCCCCGGCCGTCGCCGCATGGCATGTTCGGCCCCGCTATGGCTAAAGACGAACGGATGGGGAAAGAAGGAAGCAATCTTGTTCATAGCGACGCTGGAGAGGGACTGCCTGTGCTCTAAGACACTCTTAATCTTGCAAATGTGCCTCTGCACATCCATGGGAATACCTAAATCGTGCACCTCCAGGTCGGAGCCAGATTGGGCCTCGTCTGCAGAATCATAACCGGCGGGGCGCTCGTTCAGGGGGACGGCGTCAATAACATCTGCGGCCCCGTCAGCACCCCCGTCCCCGGCGTCGCTCCCACTACTTTGCGACACATTATCCGGCTCGCCATCAGCCCGGATGGTCCCCACCGTCGTGGCTGAACCAGAGGTCCCAGAAATGCTGGCCTTCCCGGGGGAGCGAGCACTCACATCGGCCGAAGAGGAGCCCGAGGAGGAACCCGACGAACCGGAATCAGAGCTTGACGAAATCTCCATCGAGGTCATCTCGGCTAGGAATCAGAACAAGAAAAGGAGCAGAGGGGGGAAATTACCTTACAAAGGGGTTAGCCGGATTCAGAAGAAGACTTGAAGAGCTGCGGAAAATCGGGAGCAAGAGGGCAGAAATTGGGAACCCTAATTCAGAGGGGAAACCCGGTATTTAAAGGAGAAAACACCGATGGCGAAGCCAACAAGGGGCCGACACGTGGCAAGGAGCGTACCCCGGCCACGCGCTGTGCGTGGGATGGGAACGTAATGATGACACCTCCTCGGGAAAATGCACCGCCGCAACATCAGCCGTCACCTCGTTTCCTGAACCGGCGACAGCTGTCAAGCACCATGACCACGAGCGTACGCTTCCACCAGATGCAATAAACATAAGTATCAAGATACGGACGTCTACTTCGGGGGGGTTCATACTTCCTTATGTCCTGCGCATGCTCAGAACATCAGAAGTGGGGGACTTGTGTTGGGTTAAGGGCCCAAGCCGAGGTCCGGCCCACTAACCCATTTTGCCAGACGAACGTCCAGCTAGAAACCAGGCCAGCCCACAGGCCCATGTCTCTTGAGGATGGACGAACGTCTGGTGTTGGAGGACTCGGGCCCAGCAGCTCATTCCGACGAACGTCTATGCAGAGACAAAGAGCAGAACCACGGGCCAGCGGGGATGGCGACGAACGTCCCCGGAGCAAGCTTGTGGTCATCGGGGAAAACCCAGTGCACATAGTGAGTATCTATTAAGGCCAGGCGACGAACAGCCGATATCCCTCAAAGGTCACTTGGAGCAATCCAACTCACTTCCGGGGTGGACGAACGTCCCCACTGATCCGGCGGGAAACCTAGATTCTGGCGGGAAGTGCATTTAATGCTAAAGATTTGGTAGTTGGGACACCAGCGGTCCACAGGCTGCCACGTCAGTACAGCCACCTGCCCATTGGCGGGTATAAATAGAAGCATTTATTTCATTGTAAAGGGTTGGCAACTTTCTATTCTTAGCATACTAGCTCCAGCATTCTTACGAGTAGCATTTCTATCGCCTTGTAAGACGAACGGCCGACGTGCCCTTTTTAGCAAGTAGATTGTACTTAGGGGAGTTATTACGAAGTTAATAACACCTATTTACATTGCCTGCTATTACTCTTGTTTCCTGATTCATCTGATAGTTGTTGGGCTAGATAACCACACACTCACTCCACTCGAAATCTTTGGGCTTACGTGTTGGGTCCAAGGGTTGAAGGAATAAACCTCAACAACTAACTACACATTTTAGTAACTTATTTATCTAAAAATGGGTGTAGTCAATTTTTTTAAAGATCTAAACCCTTTTATGTTTTAGAAATTTTCAAATAGGTTTTTTGATCTTTTTTTTTTTAAAAAAAAAAAGTGTTTAGAATATAAAGTTTTGCGACATTTTGATTTTAATGAAAGTGATGATTGCGACAATAGACCTCATATTGTGATTGGTCATGATTGATTTATTATTCTTTAGATTGAGTTATTGAAAGTATATATGATCTTATTAAGTAAAATAAATGTTATTGAACGAAGAAAAATTGAATGATTTAGACTTTTATTGACAATTTTTACTTAGAAGGTTAGATGATTAAAACCTATAAAAAGATTCTCATCACATCAAGAGGTAGCTACCATCGAAACACAAACATGTCAAATTATGCAATGAAAAATTAAAAGACAAACACCTCATATTTAAAAGCGAAAAATGATCTCAATTTTCATGACCAAGTAATACTATATTAAAATTACATCCATGAGTAAGAGAATTACTATGTACCTTTTATATACAACTCTTAAACACTACTTTTAGTGTCGTGATATGATTGTTATATATGTAATTAATAAAACTTTTCGAGAGTTGAAACTCTCGCCCAAAATATATTAAGATTATATTAATATATACAAAAAACTAAAAATAACTTAATTTCATAAATGAGATAAAAAAAACTGATTCCAATTGAAAATATCCTTAATTAGAAAGATGAATATAAATTTGAGATAACATTAAGACAAATTTAGATTTAGCAAATTTTATCACATGCAATCTTGCTATTTTAATTTTTCCCACCTTAATTTATGATGTTTCACTCTTTTTCATTTTAGGAATGATTTGGAAGTTATTAGAATTTTTAAACAATTTTATTGAAATGGTTTCGGGGTGCTTAAAAGATTGTTATTCTCTTGTATTTCACTTTCATTTCCATTTAGTACTTGTATTTATTAAATTGAATTAAATGCCATCCTACCATTTCACCATATGGAATCCTCTGTCGTGCGGCAGGTAAGGTCATGCCTCGAGACCCCAGATCCTCTTCTACATCATTGTAGAGTACTAATATTTTTTTTCACTCTACTTACTACAACCTTTCATCTTATTGAATTTTTCTTTATCCCCTTTCCACTTTAGTTTCAAATTTGTCATTTCATTTTGCCATTCTTATATGAAAACCAGAAGAGAATCCTCACAACCTTATTTAAAGGGATTGTATCAACTTCTGAGAGTTTGCCATTGCACACAAAATGGATATCTTCGAGGTGATTGCAATAGACTCTTGGTGTTGTGGATTTTCACTTTTGTCCCGTATAAAACTTTTATGTTTCTGATTTTCATGTCAACGGTACGTAAATAAAACAATTACCTTAAATACATCAATTCGGGTTATACTATTATTGTTTTATCATACATCAACGGTGTCTTAAAGAGACGCTAAGATCAATTAGGATGCAATATTTTCTCATAATTCTACAACGTGTGCATGTTGCCTTTTGAGAAAGTAGATGTCTGGATTCATACTAAGAAAACATCAAATATTTGTGTTACAATACATGTATGAGGATTCCAGGTTTGTAGGTGAGTAATATTTGTTTCAATTTTTTAGATACTTGATATGAAGGATGCATGCATCTATGGATTAAAATATGACATTATATTCTATATTTCTAATTAAGATAATTGAGTTTGAAGAATGTCTATATGATGGATATGTTACTGGCAAAGTTATACATGTAAACTTGCTTTCTCTATTATAGATATATATCTAATATGATCCATATGATAATTTATGAAAATTTGAGTTTTCAAGTCTAATGATATTATTAAAGTTGTATGGGTGCAGTTTAAAAAACGGAAAATGAATACCATAGCTAGGTAATTCTTTTTCAGATTAACAACCTCATTGAAAAGTTGGTGGCTTGGAGCTATTAAATACAATTTACTTTTATTTTGAAACATTGACTTATAGAGCTAAATGAACTCAATGCACAAATGCATACATGAATAAAGTTCATATTCATGATTTTGAAGTGTTTTTAAGATATGTTTTTCTCAATTAGATCGTTAGGAATGAATTAGTTTTTGAGGTTTCTAGTATAATTTTTAGAGTTCCTTTTTGCATTTGAGTACTAAACTAATCATGTGTCATCATCTCAATTTTTGGTGACAAATAAAAATGTAATCATGAATACTTTTAAAATATGAATGTTTCACCCCATAATAAGCTAATTTAATTTTACATGTCTATCTCATTTCTGCTTGTATAGTGATAATATAAGTCCATAGTAAGCTAATTAACTCCAACTTGTACTCATAAAAACTGTCGGGAAATTTATTGAATTCTAATCTAATACATGTATGGAGTTCTAAATTTTAGGATGGACTCCATCAAAAACGTTTCTAATTGGGTTTCTATTGTTTTTTTGTCTGATTTGTCTATTCCGTTCGGATTTGGTCTGATCTAATCTGATCAGGTCACCCCGGTCATTTTTTTTATTACTCTTTTTACCAAACAAATTTATCTAATCCAACTTATAGTTCAAATGCAACATTTCAAAAATTTACATATATTCCTTAATGTATAGAACTTTGTTGAATTCTAATTGAACACGACAAAATTTTATAATTCTTAATTGTATTTTTTAAATCATTGGAAAAAAGTATTAAAAATAAGAGTTGAAATAAATGTTATACGTGTTTTACATTTGGAATACACGTAGCTAAAGTTAATTACTCGTAATATATCACGCCGTATAATAGATTTTTTGTTATAAAAAATATATCAACTTCATAATTTTTTATTATTTTTCATATAACACCAATATTAAATATATAAAAATAGAAAATAATTTTTAAAGTGATACATTATTTTTTATTTTTTCAAAAATAGATATTTTTTTAAGTGGTAAATTATTTTTCAAAATAGATAAATAAAAAATGTTAAATTAGTTTTTTGTTTTTATATATTCAATATTAGTCTCATATGAAAGATAATAAAATGTTATAAATTATGGTGTATTTTTTGTAACCATCAAAACACAAATAAAAAAGTTATACCATTTTAAAATAAATATGAGATTTTATTTTTTGAATTAAGTAGTTTTAGGAAGTTTTATAAAGTAACGTAACATGAGTTCTAATTCACCTTTAATTACTAATGTAACGAAAGTGTAATTAACATGTATTAACTTACTAAATTGGAAAGAAAATTTAAATTATTATAATGAAAGTTTGCTTAAAAGATAACACATAGCAAAACTTTCTATATTTGTATCTTTGAAATATATCATTTATAAATGTTTAGTCTGCGAATGAAAATTTCCCTATTATTTTACCCAGTTGTTCTGAATATGGAATCTTTTTTGTGAGCGATTGTGCTTAAATGAGACTTGTAAGTTGTAACATATGGAGGCCCATACATGTATTATATCCAACCCATCGTATATTTACTTCAACGGTCACGGTTACCGGGAAGCAAAGCGAATTTCAAATTTCAAATTTGAATTAACTCGCCGAAAAACCCTCACAGTCGAATGACCTCTTTAACCCTAAAGCCGGGTCGTATATTTATGAAACGAGCAATCCATTTCTCTTCCCTCACCACCCATTCCATTAACCAGAGCATCTTCTTCTACCGCGGCGTACACAAACTTCCCTGAATCTCTCTGCCCATCCAACCTCAGAAGAAAATGAGAGAGTGCATCTCGATTCACATCGGCCAGGCCGGAATCCAAGTCGGAAACTCTTGCTGGGAGCTTTACTGTCTCGAGCATGGCCTCAAGGTAAACCTAAGCCGTTGAGATGTTCACGTACTTCAATTTTTTTTTTTTAATTTTCAGATCTCGTTTATATTTTGATTTTGTTTGGGAATGGCGCAGCCGGACGGAAATATGCCCGGTGACGCCACCGTCGGCGGAGGTGACGACGCGTTCAACACCTTCTTCAGCGAAACGGGAGCAGGAAAGCACGTCCCTCGTGCGGTGTTTGTAGATCTGGAGCCGACCGTCATCGATGAAGTCAGAACTGGAACTTATCGCCAACTCTTCCACCCCGAGCAACTCATCAGCGGTAAAGAGGATGCGGCCAACAATTTCGCCAGAGGCCATTACACGAGTGAGTTTCTGCTTCACCTTGTGTGCGCTTAGATACATTTTGCTCATCTTCCGAACCGTGTGAAGTTTTATTCAACGTTGATTTTTTGAAATTTCTATGTTCTGTATCTTATTTTAAAAAAAGAATGATAAATATAACGCAGTGTGAAGTTTATATGACTTGTTTCAGGTGCTTAGATTGAATGTTTGTGAATATGTTACTCGTATTTGTGTATTTATTTGATTGTTTATGTATTCATGCCTAATTCATGGAAAATGTAATGTGAACAGTTGGGAAGGAGATTGTGGATATCTGTTTGGACAGGATAAGAAAGCTGGCAGATAACTGCACTGGTCTGCAGGGGTTTCTCGTGTTCCATGCTGTTGGGGGTGGCACTGGATCTGGCCTAGGATCTCTTCTCCTGGAAAGGCTTTCAGTCGATTATGGAAAGAAGTCCAAGCTTGGATTCACCATCTACCCCTCTCCACAAGTTTCTACAGCCGTGGTTGAACCTTACAACTCCGTTCTGTCCACTCACTCACTCCTTGAACATACTGATGTTGCTGTGTTGCTTGACAACGAAGCGATCTATGACATTTGCCGGAAATCCCTTGACATTGAGAGGCCAACCTACACAAATCTGAACAGGTTAATCTCTCAGGTGATTTCTTCTCTCACAGCTTCCCTCCGTTTTGATGGAGCTTTGAACGTAGATGTGAATGAGTTCCAGACTAACCTTGTGCCATACCCGAGGATACACTTCATGTTGTCTTCATATGCCCCGGTTATCTCTGCTGAAAAGGCCTACCATGAGCAACTTTC